TGCAGGATGGTTTTGTCAAACAAAATCTCCAGTCTGAGAGAGGAATTGATGAGGTCTTTAATGCATGGCACCTATGAAAAGGGTGTTCTTCAGAATAAAACAATAGGGGCATCAAGACTGAGCCTGGAGTAACTGCCTTGGTGGTACACAAACAACTGGAACTGGTACGGGGCATATTCCCACCACAGGGTAAACTGTGTGCTGCGAATACACTGGCCAGGCTGCCCCAGCCTCCCTCCTGCCATAACGCCATTGCAACGGAAAAACAGCCAAAATCCAGAGCACAGAGCAACAGTCAATGATGGATGGACTTATTCAATATGTTTCGTGCGAACAGAATACCCTACAGTGGATCTAACTAATCTCATGTAAAGGGACAGTTTCTGGAAACAGAGCTGCACGCAAAGATTTAAGTGCATCTCCGAGCGAAAGAAATGGTTGTTTCCCCTAACCCCCCAGATCAACCTCTTAATCCTGGAATTACAGATTTTCTCAACAAGCAGCGTGCACTGCACAATGTATGTCTCTCTTCTACCACCCGATAAAATCTTAACCTGTGCAATCAACTCTTCGATAAATGTTTTTGATCCTGATTTCCAAATTAATTTCAGAATTTTTTTAACGTAAACCTGACCTTCCACTCCACCTTCTTTTACTCAAGTTGTGGAGCCTGTAGTCATGTCCACAGTACCCGTGAAGCAAGAAGAATACAAAATCACATTTTCAATGAAGCAATTAGTACTTTTTTGTTAAACATCTGGTACGTGGTCCTTTGGGAATGAGCAAAAAATTCCTTCGTGTAGGAGCTCTGCTTCTTGAAATGAAAAGACTTAATTTATACCATAAGTTTCCCTCCTTACAAAAGGAGAAAGTGTCCTCCATAAGTCAAGCAAAAATTTTCTTAGGAGTCAAGTACAAAAGCTTTTTCTTCAAAGAGAAAAGATGAGATGTACTTTAAAGAGATACTTCCAGAGAAAGAAGAAAAAGAGTTCAAGTCTAGGATGAATACAGCTTGGATATGTGAGGCAGTTTCTTCTCCTGGTGGGTGTCAACAAGAATGGAAACCTTCCTCCTGAGAATACTCTGCCAAGGGGACCAAGCGCGTTTGTTTGAATCTAATGTGAGACAAGGATCTTCAGCGAAAGCTGGGAGAGAGAAAAAACTATTTTCTTAGACAGAAAGTAAGGATAGAAAGTTTTCTTCTAAAGAAAAGATCGTTACCAGCCTATTTCCCACAATCCTGCCCTTCCCAGAAAGCAAAAAGGAGATCTTTCCAACAGCAACTAGCAAAGAAAACCAAGAAGATGAGTTGCAAAGCATTGGAAGGAGGCTCCGTGCCTCCTGCAAGGGAAGACTCCTTGCTCTTTCCAAGAGCAGCTGTAGATGAAACAAGAACTTTGAAAACCCTGAACCACCTTTTTATTTTTTCTTCACCTTTTTTTACACTCATCTGTTTTGACACCAGACCAAAAGGGACTCCTATTTTTTGAAAGTCTGACTTAGATCCACATATGTTAAAGGAACAGAAGACACCGTAGCCTAGATTAGTTTTATTTTTATAGCTTTAAATAAAGCAGGTAGGTACCACCGCCATCACCTGCAGAAGTAAGGGGACGCTCCTCTCCTCCTCGCTGCATCACCACCAGCAGTGTCATGACTACATGCAGCTTGATAGGATGCTGCACCTGAAGGACTTTCCTTCAACGTCCCAAGATTTAGTCATCTAGCAGGCATGTCTGATGTCAACCATGCAAAACCAGCCCACAGGGACCCACAGTTATACTTCTGACTATAAACAACGTGAACTACTCATTCTTCATGATGTGTTCTTTCCTTTCAGTCCAGCAGAGGATTTACCCCCCTGGCTATTTTCAAACCAATTTTTAATTTCACTCCTTAGCTGTGTACCTTACCCTTGAACGTAGTTATAAAATGTTTGGGGCTTTGTTTAACTTCTTAGAGCAAAAAAATATATGATACCCTCAAGCAGCATATAATTTGGACTAATAGCCAGATAGTTTTTAGAAAGTGGTTAATCAGAATTATGGGGTACATAAAAAAATAAAACAAAACACCAAAAAAAACCAAGTGGTTACCAAGGACCAAGTGGTCAGAAGATTTGGTCAGAGTCATCTAAGATTGTGAGAAATCAATAATGATAATTTGAGATTTCTTTACCAGAAATCACTAGAGAGGGAGATTTCCCATCCAAGTGGTGCTATTACAGTTTCCCAGCCAGTCAGTAAGTCAATAATGGAGACAAATGAGGAAACAAGCATTTTCTATGGATTTTTTTTTTCAACAATTCATTTTCCAGCTACACAGATACAGTGCCTTTTCAAATTTTAAATCAGAGGCTGGAGACTTAAATTAGCCCTTCAGAAGTGCTCTCGATCCAAAACTAATGTGGAACACAGTATTCTTGTCTCTCTTTAGCTTTACAAGCCAAGAAGCTTCCCAAAGTGATTTTTTTACCCATCCAGTTTTTAAGAAATAGAAACAGTTTGTTTCCTTAAACACATTGGAGTGGTTCATTAAAAAAAAAGAAAAAAAGAAAAACATTTCTTTCTTGCTCTAATGATAAAGTTTTGCTATTAAAAGATAATATCATTTGGCTTCCATAGGTTTGTTTATGAGTTACCTAAATCTGTAAGAAAACTGTCTCTATGTAATTTTACTAAATAGTCGTTCACTAAAAAAAAAAAAAAAAACCCAAACAAACATGTTTTGATAGAAAATGTTGGCTATGTTATTGTGATCCTTCTGGTTCATTTTGGGGTCTCCACGTAAAAGCGTCTCGTGGGCAGCTATTCAAGGAAACACACCCAACCCCAATACTCCTGCTGGGTACTGCCCAGAGCTCGTGACATGGCACACACAACGTATGATCTTTAAATAGTCAAGAAACTGAAAATTTCAACTAAAAAAAGCCCCAAAATTAATTTAAACTACTTGGAAATTTTGTCAAGAACATTTCAATTTCCAATATTTTGATTTCTTACACGCTTTTCTGTGGGGTCCAGGGTTTTTTTCTCCTATCTTTTCCACAGCTAGATCCAGTCTTGGCTGGCACCCGAAGCTTACCAAGCAGTACTGTCTGCCTGCAAATATTTGGTCATTAACAGATGAAAATACCCAGTGAAATATCATACCCGAAATATGATGGGAAATCACTCAGAATTTAATCACAGCTGGAACCTAAAGTTTGTCAAGTTCCAGAAAGACATCATCTGTATTTGAGGTATATTAAGCAGCAGCATATCATGTATAAACCAAAATTAAACCTGTAATAAATCCCACACAGCAAACCTGAGAACACATATTAATAGCTAAACAAAATAAGATACAAGGAAAAAGACATATTCCAGGAGGAAGTCAATGAAATTCAAGAAAAATCAAAATTTCTAAACAATCTTTCTCAACTCTTCCTGTTCAGACCGTGCAGCATCCCAGCTTCTTTGCTTAGCGTGCCTATACGTAGTCATTAGGGTTGCCTGTTCATTTATTAGACTCCAACTCATTAATAAGCAATTAATTCCTAATTCAGTTATTGCTCATAAAGGATTTACAAATTTGGCGTTGATATGTTATAGCTTGTGATGTGTTTAACGAGCTAAATGTACACACCAGGCAAGAAAATCCCGCAAAAGGCCATTGCCACGCTTCACCAATTCCAGAACTAACTCACAAAAACTGTCACCACTTGGGTCTCTAAAGTAAAATACAACTTGAGAGACGGTGCTTTTGGGGAAACACAAGCCCAATGCTTGCACTGGCATAAGACTGGCAGGTTTCTTTTCTTCTAGACTAAAGGGGTAACTTCGAGCTCTGGATATTTAACTGCATATGTGGAATGTAAATGTATTTGTTTACATGACGCTACCTGCATCAGAAGAGTCTCCAAATGCACATTGCAAAGGCTTTGCACCTTCGGAGCACTTCAAACAGACTTTGAATGTTTTCTTAATTTGAAGTGTACAGAAAACCCCAGTTGTTTGAGGCATTCTGGACTTCTCACTTTCCAACAGCTGAGCTCAGTGACATAATTCAGATGCAAAATTCACCATTCAACCTACAGCAATACAACTACTGGATCACAAGCGAGAGACGTGCTTCATCCGACCAGCCCACTCACGGACACTGGAGCCTGTGCAACTCACACTGGGCTGTTTTTTTATTATTATTCTATTTTGTGCATTTATTGCAGTACCACATTTTCAATGGTTTCCACTTTTACTTTCAGCTCTGGTGACCAACTGAATGTCCAATACATCATGTTTTCCACTGCCCAACATCTTAAGTGTAGCTTTTAAAACTGCGTTTCACAGGAACACGAAATATTGCCTTTTAGGGAACAGGCTGCCCAGAGAAGCTGTGGATGCCCCATCCCTGGAGGGGTTCAAGGCCAGGCTGGATGAGGCTTTGGGCAACGTGGGCCAGTGGGAGGTGTCCCTGCCCACGGCAGGGGGTAAAACTCAATAAGCTTTAAGGTCCCTTCCAACTCAAACCATTCTGTGTTTCTATGATAAAAAAATGAGAAAAAAAAAAAAACAAAACAAAACAAGAAAATAATCCCAACAAACCCAACACTCCCAGCATTTTCCATCAGCAATTAAAGCAAAATAGCAAAAACCATCTGTACTTGCTCCCATATCAATCTCAAGGGCAAGTACAGACAAAAAGTAAGATATTAAGGGCTGCGCTACATATTAGATCTTCACCCTATGCAAGAGGCAGACAAACCTTCCTCTGCTATCGAAGCAGGCTGAGTTGTACCCAAGCATCACCTTTCTTGCCAAAGTATTGTGATCTAGTTTAAAGATATTTCCATAGGCAAGCAGCCCCAACTCTTCTGACCATAAATCCTCCCAAAAGCTGCAGAATCTGGCTAAAGCACTGTTTAACACCGGGCATCACAAAGAGCCGGTCACTTCTTTGTAACACCAGGTATTATAAGAAGTTAAAAAGCATGGTAAGAACTTCCCCAGCGGTTTACTTACAGTACACGTCCACTCTGATGGACTTGATGGCTGGCGAGCCCAAGCCGTTCTCAGCCTTGCAGTAGTAGCGTCCTCCCTGGTGCCGCTGGATGTTGGCTATCCTCAGGGTTTCATTGAAGACGCTCGAGTCTTGAAATCTGTCAGAGGCACTTCCTGCTGTTTTGGTCCACCTGATCTGAGCAAGCACCAAAAAAAATTGTTACTTCAAGTCTGTAAAAGTGAGCAGAGTTTTCTCTTCCCCAAACCAAGAACCACATGCGTGGCGGCCAGGATTCTATGTTGGACTTGGGGAACTTCTCCAGAAAACTGAATAGCTCGGGCTTACAATCAAACACTCCAGCCAAGAGCCCTAAATGGTAATCTTGCATCTACCATCATGTCTTAGAAATAATTAATTACTTCTGATGGAAACGCTCCAGAAAAAAAAATGCCAGTAGCGGAGACACAGAGAACAACTCACTCCACCATCAGTGACCCACAGCTGGAACAGAAAAACTCCCTGTTAATGGCAAGGAGCAGAGTTCAGCAGAAAAGGCGGCTGTGCTCCTGTACTGCCATTGAAATGATGGCCATGAAAGATCAGGGCACATTGGAAAGCACCTTCAAAACACCTGATGGATTGTCTTTTAGCAATAATAAAACCCAATTGTAAGGAGTCAGACTATCAGGTGCTTGAAACTGCCAACTACTAATGTTTATTTCTTCAAACAGGTGGTTTGTTGTTGGTTTTAATGTCATTTATGGCAATTACAGATTCCTTTACTCCAGTAATTATTTTCCAAAAGTGAAGATTTTTTAAAGGGAACATTTTTAATCCCAAACCCATAAAAATACCAGTAACAGCCCACAACAACCCACACCTGCACAGAGGTGGATACCCACACTTGCCAACCCAAGCCCTTGTCTGCATGACTCAGTGGACTAAGATATCTCATAAAAGGCACCAGACCTCCAGAGACTCCCCAGCTACCTCCTGCTCTTTCAGCTCACACTAATTCAATGACCAGGACAAGCAACATTCAGTTCCAGACCAAAACTGCCTTTTTTCTTTTTATGGTAGGTTTTTACTACCTGTGGAAGCCACCAGTGGGATATTTGCATAAAGAAGAGTTTAGGTCTCTTCTGAAGCTTCTCAAAGCTGTCTCTTCTCAACCCCGTCCACTAATTCTATGCCAGGAGAAAGACCAAAAATTCTGCAGTCATTGATAAAAATGAGATTGACACCAAGACAAATACTTTGTTATTAGTTCCTGGGCTCCCGTCCCCAAAGAAAGTCCCCAAGTAGTCAGTGAAGCCACAATTTAAAGAACCACACTTAGATATTGATCCATTGGTATGTCCTAGGCAGGCTGTCTGCAAGCAACCCTGAGCCAGTAGTGGCTTGGTTTGGAGAAGATGCTGCAGCCTAGGCAGCTCACGTTTGCCGCCAGTAAGTGACTGTCCCCATGTCCAGACAAGACTAAGCGGGACACACTGTGGTTTCAGCCCTGTCCGATGTGAAGGAAGGTCCCATATGAAGGAAGGTCCCATGGCTGAACTGGGCACTCCTTGGTGGACACACCACCATGGGTCGCCTTGGCTGGAGGGAGATCATTCTGCAGAGACACTCAAGTTCCACCATTCCCAGTCCTGACCCAGAACTGGGGTGCAGACCCCAGTAACCTGGACAAGAGCACAAGGTGGGCAGGGGTCAGCCCTCCTTTCACCAGGAACTTCTCCTGGGCAGGAGAGATCTTCTACAACAGGCTCCAAGCTGAAAAATTTATGACCAGCTATAGCCCATCTAAATTATCCTCCCCTTGAAATAAGGGCAGGCATGGGCTTCAGAGGTTGAAATCACAGCAAACAATAGTTCCAAAAAATGTTCATCTCTTTCTGGCTTGTTAAATTCATAAGCCTGACTGGCTTTTCCCTCTGCCCTGCATAACACTCGCACGGTTCTGCTGCTCTGGGATTAAGCAAATACACCCAACTCCGCATCTACAACGTTGGGTCTGCGTGCGAGAGAGACGCTATTAGCACGGCTATATTTACCCCTCTCAATCTGTCTGTACTGCTATTCTCAACTCTTGGCTCCGGGGCTTTTCAAATCATCCATATAAATGTGCCGCAGGATAATTTTGGAACACACCCTCAGCTTCTGCATGCTGCAGAATGCAATTTCATCAGATATATTTCAAATGCTGGAGAAGTACTTTAAAGCGGTATTTAAGATATCCACTGAATCTCTTGGCGTGTTTTATTTTCCTTTTGTGTAACCAGAATTGTAAAAATCAAAATTGTTTGATTTTTAACTGGAAAATAATTAATAGCATGACTTCTTTCTTCCTCCCCTTCTTTTCCCACTAAAAGTTTCCAGTGGAAGGCACTGCCCTGTCAAAAGAATATATAACTTAAATAATGCATTATAAGTATTATCAGCATCTATGTAACTGGTAACGTTACATATCTTGCACAAAAAAATACAACAAAGTTTATTTAGATACTATCAGAGGTTGGGTTGGTTTTTTTTCTGAACATAAAAGCCTTCCCCCTCCACTGCATCTTAACATTGATTTATCTTCCTTTTATTATAAGGAATTTTGACAGGATGCTGTTTGGCTGGCAACAAAAGTAGACTTCTCAGCTTTAAAAAAAAAATATGCATGTGTCTTTTAGAAGAAGGAAGAGCAATTTTAATAAATTAATGTAGTGCACGTGGAGATACCTGAAGAATAAAAGGAATACCATCAACTAGATTCTCTCTTCTTCTCTCTTCAAAGACATCCATTGGCACAGTCCCTGGTCTGATGTAACTTCAGTTCATTATGTACCTTAGCTTGAACTCAACGTACACCCAAAAACACGCCGATCAATATTGCACGGTAATGTATTGAATGCACTGGGAAGAAAAACTTTGCAACACTATGCTAATGTAGTAATTAAAAAAAAAAAAAAATTGGCACAGAAAAGCCAGATGTCTGAGGCTGAAAACCTCTTCAGATAAGTCCTTAGTGCCTTCACCCATTGCGAGCTCCAGGCCGTGCTCTGGGGTGACCCCCAATGACTTTTGAGCAACTGGGACCCTCAAACCCATCCTTAGAAAAGGAGCATCTCACAGCTCTGGTGTCCAAGTCCTCATCGCTGCTGAACGCAGCAACCTTTGGAGCAACTGCTGCCACCACACTGATGTTACCCCATTTTCATGGTGGGAAAAGGGGACCACAGGCTCGTGGGACACTGCGGCAGGTGTTGGACTTGAATCCCAAAGCAACCTCCGTACTTCTTTATGGTAGAGGATTCAGAAAGCCTCTAGATTACTAGGGTTTTGGGCTTGGTTGGGTTTTGTTGTTTGTTTGTTTGTTTTTAAGCACTAGACTGTGTACTCACACAGTTCAGATACTCCAATATTTTCAGATAACTTCGCACAAAATAATTGCTCACCCAGATGCATTTTATCAGGGTTTGCTATTCATAATTTGCTTTTCTGTTTGAAACCACCCCATTCCTAGTGCAGCAGCAGCACCGCATGCTCTGCACGTCGACTCAGATAGCATGGATAACGTGGGAAGTCAACAAATTCTGTTCCACCAAGAAGTCAAAGCCATTCTTGCTTGTAATGCAAAGTTTCAATTAAAAAGTTACATCTGCACATCACAGTGTACACAAATCAGACTAATAAACGTTAATCCATTACACAGATACACGCTCCCTGGCTTCTAAGGATGCAATTTCCCAAAGTGCTCCCTCTTACTCTGTTGTGCATTTGGGAATCCCACCCATTTCTTGTCATTGCTCTGCCATATGATTATTGTCTTTATTTACCACATACCTCTTTCTTTTTTCTTTCCTTTTCTTTTTTCTTGCCAAACATACGCAGAAGTAAAAATGATTTATGAACAATTCAAATTACTACATTTTAAAAAAATGTGTAAGTTACAGCCCATCTAGCCATATCATGACCTATGTACTTGACTGGTTCGTATATGCCCATAATTTCTCTAACTATCAATATCTTTGACAGCATTTTATTGGCTTTAGCAGATGCCCTGAGCTTCAGCTGACCCTATAGCTTCACTTTTCCCAGTGAGCTTTCTGGCAACTTCAGTAGGAGTCACAGATTTTACATTTTTAGAGTAAATATGCAGATTAAAAGGAAAAAAAAAAAAAAGAATATTTTGCTTAACTTTTCTCAGCTTCAACAAAGTACTCATGCCCAAAAGAAAGGCAGCAGAATAAGAAAAATATTTAATCTTGTCATTATAAAAAAGAAACACTTCTGTCAAAGACAACAAACATCACAATATCTCTACTTTGAATTAAAAAATTTTGCTTGGTTCAAAAAAATCACCACCACCAACCGCCCCCCAAAAAACCCAACAAAACCCAACCACGTTTTGCAATGAAAACTTTCTTTCTTCCATGGAAAAAGTTGGTGGAAAATGAAGTTCTGACAGTCTTTCTTCTTATGCCATGACACTGAACTCTGCCTAACACAGCAACTGCAAGTAAATATGTTCCTTAAAATATACCCAGTGCCTGCATCTCCCTGTCATCGATTGCAGTGGCTGCCCTCTGATGTTGCTAAGAATACAAGGATGAGGAGAAACTTCCCATCACTGTTATGACTCCCTGTGACGGGTTAGCCCTTGGCTGAGGGCCAAACCACACACACCCGCTCACACAATTCCCACCCCCACCCAATGATAGGAGAGAGAATTAAAGGGGTAAATGGAAAAGAGGACTCATGGGTTGAGAATTAACCCAGGACACTCCCAAATCTCTGCCTCAGATTCAAGTCCTCCTCTGTATGCAAACAGACGTAAAAGAGGACTTGGTACAACTTCACTAGGATGTGCTGGAACATTTCTTCATGCCTAAAGACATCAGAGCCTTTGGTAAAAGCCATAGTCACCACCCCTCCTCCAAAAAAACCAAACGAAAACAATCCTTCAATTTATTTTTCCATGAGATTATTTATCCAAGAGAGGAAATCAGCACTGATTTAAAACAAAACAAACAAAAAAAAACCCCACACCAACCAACCAAAAAAAAAAATCCAAAATCCAAAAACCACCTTGCACTTGCTTTTGCAAGGACAAGTTCCCTCGAGGAAATCTCCCACGTGTTCATCAGGTCATTCCCACCATACACTAAAGGAAAGCCTTTGCATGTCTAAATTACAGGATTAGCCAC